TGCGTATCTTTGGACTGTGAGAGGAAACCAGAGCACCCGGAGGAAAACCACGCAGACATGGGGAGAATGTGCAAACTCCACACAGACAGTCACCCAAGGGTCAAATCGAACAGAGGTCCCAGATGCTGTGAGGCAGCAGTGCTAACCACTGAACCACCAAATTTGAGACACTTTTGTAATCTGTTATGACCCCAGGTGCTGTTTATACTAGACGAGTCAGATCCCAGACTGAAACCTGGCTTGATAGATTTTTGTTTTGGTTTTAACAAAGTGTTCTTTCACTGAAACACAAACTGTTATTGACGTAGATTTGGCTTTCACAGTGAAGTGGAAGTTTATTATGCAAAAGAATTGAAGAAAAAAAAATGAAAGAACCAAGCTGTAACTCAATTTAAAGTTTTCAGAATACGGTAAAATACAACTTCATTAACCCCAACAATACTCCTTTACAGTAACAAAAACAGAATTGCTGGAGAAATTTAGCAGGTCTGGCGATACCTGTGTCCAGTGACTCTCCTTCACTGGGCTCAAAACGTTAACTTTTTTTCCCACAGATGCTGATAAATGACTGTGACTACAGGAATATTTATGAATTAATTGTTAAATCTCTCATGACTCTTGTTCAATATCCAATCTCTAAAATAATTGATAATTAAAAAGCATGCAAGTCGCATGCCTTGCATTACAAATCTGTCCCTGGGACCTAATTGGCTGAAGAGATCATTCAGATGCTGCAAATTGACCAATCAGAGGCAGTGTGCAATAATACTTCTGGGTGTTTTAAAAGGACCGAAGTATTTTAACGTAAAAGTTACATTTTGTAGAAGGAGATTTCTCACATCTCTGAGATCACACATTGGAATAAAAGCAAAGATGTGAATTAATCCATGCTTCAATGTGTAATGAGTTAGTCAGATTTGTTTAAAGGGAGTTAAATGTTTTCCTTGTTATTTTTTTGCCACATCATCTATGTCTAGACACAGTTCCTTTATTATATAAAAAAAACTTTATTGGAATTAACCTGTCACTATTTCTTGTGGAACTCCAGAATTCCAGAAGTATAATTGTTTTGCTTTTGAGTTAAATACCTAATTTTATTCTTCTGGGCCAAATAAGGAAACAGAACTATGTTGGAAAACCCATGTCAGTCAGGCTCCTGGATAGAAGGGAGCTTTCCATAAATAGTTATTCCATCATCCAATTTATGTCCAACTGTGAGCCCTGCCCGTGCCCTGCCCTGAAAAGTGGATCTGACGAATTTATTTTTGAATTTTGGCTTGATGGAAAAAAGTTGAATAACAGTGACTTTTGTTTGACTTCTGTCAGACTTATCTAGATTTATTCTATAATTCCATTGTATGGAGCAGTGTTGCATCATACAGCAGGATTTCATGATCGGAAACATGTCACTAAAACAAACTATTAATGTTTTTCTTTTGCTACGTAACTGTTGCTGCCCAATAGTCAGAGTCATATAGCACGGAAACAGACCCTTCCATCCAACCATGCTGAACGTTATCCCATAAGTTGAAGTCTCCAGTTGGGTGCATTACAGAATAAAGGGGTGAATCTGAAGGGCATCATCACCCGAAATGCTCATATCATTCACAGGTTGACTGTGTAACCTACTCTGCTCACCTCCCTGAGTTTGCAATGTCTTTCCTGTATTGCATTATTTACAAAGTTCCAAAGATCCATGTAAAACAGTAACTTGCCTTTTTTTCAGCACCTGCAGCAGAGGAAACAGTCTAACATTTTTATCAGGAGCATTATCAAATAAACTCTGACATTCAGCAACATAGGAATACATGAAAGTCAAGGAGAAGTTGTAGGTCCTCTGCCCTGTAGGCCGCCTCTCTCATTCACTTCCTCCTTGGAATATCTCCACACTACCTTGATACAGTAAGCATTCACAAATCGATCTGTCTGACTCTTGAATGTGCTCCACAACCCTTTGAGTGAGGAAGTTTCTGATCATCTCCATGCTAAATGGCCTCTTGCCCTTCTCCTGAGTCTGTGAGCCTGGTTCTAGATTTCCCAGCCGAGGAAACATTTTTCCAGTTTCTTCCTTGCTAAAACTTTTCAGCATTTCAGTGAAACTACTTACCAGTAGGCCTTGTCTACTGTGGTTGTTTTCCCAGATGACAGCTCAGCTGGTACCTTGTGCTATTTGCCAGTTGTGTGACGCTGGGTCAGGGTTGTTTTGAGGTAGTTTGCTGCCACCAGTTCTTTGTTTTTGTCTTTGCTTTGTCTTAGGCCTAATTGATTAACTGTAGAGGAAATGCTTGCTGTAAAGTACCTTCAGAAGAGGCACTGTTCTTAAATAACCAGATGATGTATTGCAAGATAGCAATAAATAAAATTACATTTAGTCTGACAATTGCTAGGACCTTAGGGAGTTGGTGCAGATACATCTGCTCCCTCAAATGTAGAGTAGAACCCTTGTCTCCACCCAGAGACTGTGACATCAATAGAATTGGTCCAGCCAATGCCACATGACCATTATCCCCTTCACAACCTTTGCATTAGACAACACATATCCTCTCTCCAAGCTTTTTCCCTATTGTTAACTCATTATGCGATAATGTATACAACAATATTACGTTTACCACTATCCCAGCTCTCCAAAAGTCTCTGACTTTGCAAATGCACGCAGTTTAGATGTTCCACACTCTTCTTGGAACACACTCTTAAGCATTGCTAAAACAAGACAGGAAGTTGAAGCTTTTAATCTTGCATTCATCAGAATTAAGTCACAAGAAAAAGACATCACAAAATGGACACTTTTTTAATAACATGAACGAAGGGGCTGATTGGTTGCATCATCATGGAGATGCACCAAGAGCGGTCAGCTGTTAGTTTTAATTCTCTGAATGGGCAGGCAGATTCTGATTTGGCCAGGGTGTTGTCATGGAAATGCAGCAGAATTTGAGTGTCTCCTTTTTTTTAATGGAAAGGATGCAATGTCTGTACAATTCCTTTTTGCCCACATAAAACAGCGTCCTGAACAGCATGTAACTTCCAGCTTGTTCAACTGCATTACACTTCGAGCCAGGCTAGTGATCTTAATTTCATTTCAGAAACGGTGTCTGTTTCTTACATCCTAGATCTGATGACTGCAAGGCAAAAAGCTTCAGCTTCTACACAAAGAGAAACCAAAATTGCTGGAAAAGCTCAGCAGGTCTGGCAGCATCTGTTGAGAGAAATCAGAGTTAATGTTTTAGGTCCAGTGACCCTTCCTCAGAACTGATTCCACTTCCATGGAGTCGTCATCTGTATATTGCCCTCAAATCATTGATTGGTCTGGATACCCTTGGGGTATCATGCTGTAAATGAAACCCTGCTATTCCTGGAGTCATGTCAAATGTTATCATTTTTACATATGCACAGTACCCCCATTTACCTGACTTTTTTCAGATCAAGGCTGAGAGCACAGACCAGGTTTCTGTACTTACCAAGTCATTAATTATCGTCACTAGTCCACAGACCAAATCAACTTTGTGTGTTGCCAATGAGAGCTGCATCAGTACACTCCCCTGGCTACGATCTGAGCTTCAATTCTGCTTATTCAAACAGTTGTCCTGAATGCCACTGCTGTCGGGTTACCTGCTTTCAAAACTGCAGCCACTCTTCCAAACGCTGTTCTTTTTAAAGTAGTTCTTTCTCATTTCAGACCCCAGTGTTTAAAAGCACAAAAATAAAGTGATGCAGAACTTGTGTAATATTGCTTTAAGCTCTTTAAGTTTATACTCTTGTAGTCGGCCACAGTATTTCGACTTGATTGTAGAGCTTGCTGGACTCTGAACCGCAACGATATTGCAGTATATCCCTCATGTGACAAACTTTTAAACTCTTTTTGTAATACTGCATTGAATTCAAGGCTTTATGTTATTGGCTGGTCTGTACTAATTGTACTGCTTTCAAGCTTTTCAAGCATTATTCTCTGTACTTGCTGGATGTTTGGCTTTTTTTTTAAACAATCAGGTGGCTACCCTCTCAAGTCTAGGCTATGGTTACAAGATTGGTAAGGCCTCAATTTTTTTTCCTGGCCCTTTCAACCTTCCTTGCAGCTATGCCTTGTGGAACCTCTGATCCAACAGCAATACTGTTTGTGAGAGGTGCAAACTTACTTTTACGCTCCCTTGCCTCACCCCTCCAGTCTTTAAACATTTCGCATTGATTTTTCCTTACCATTTTGGGATGTCTAGCATTACCTTCTGGAATGTTCAGTTGCCCCTTACAGGGCTTCCTATACTTGGCCTCTGAATTTTCTAAGTATAGCTGGCTTATTTCTCTTAGGCCTTTTTCTTGGCCAAGTGCCACGAAGGAGGTGCTGTTCTGAGCTAACAAGAAGGATTATTGCATGATAACAATAAGTACAACTACGTTTGGTCAGGTATAATAACTAAGACTTTTGGGAGATATACATTTCTGAATAAAATGTGATAGTGGCCAATGAGAGTTTAATTGCAAAACAGCTTGCAAGCGACTAATGTTTGATAGTTTCTCACATCATTAAGAATGTTTATGGGGACAGGTACCTGTCAAGCGGAAATCTTGTGCTTGAAGCGTTTTATAGAAACTTACAACGGGGCAGGTACTGAAATTGATAACAGAAGGCAACACTGTTTCTAAAATGGCACTGAACGTAAACAAATGTGATTCAATCACTGGTGTTTGTTCAACAGGCTCCTGGAAGGTCAGTGGGGACTATGTGAAGTATTTTGGGATGTCTAGCATTTCCTTCTGGAATGTTCAGTTGCCCCTTACAGGGCTTCCTATGCTTGTGAGTTATAGCTAGCAAGTAGTGGAAATGTTTATCTGTTTAAAGTGGACTTTCACTCATCACCTCGCTGTATCCCTACATTGTCTTTGGAATGTTTTCATTGTGATTTGGAGTATAAAGCTAGCACATATGTACTTAAGAATGCCTGTGCAGATTGTGGAAATGTTTTGACTAAATGCTTTTTTTTTAAACACCAAATTTCATGTTCTTGCAGGTCAAGGTATCAACCCCAAAATGGCAGGACTGATTGGCCAACATGGGCCTCATGACAAGCAGCCCTTTATGGTGGCTTTCTTCAAGGTCAGTGAGGTGCACATCCGAACGACGCGATCGGCTACGAGCAAACGCAAGCACCAAAGCCGCACCAAAGCTACATCAGCTCAAGAGTCACCCAGAGCAGCAAGCTTATCTGGTAAGATAAGAGCAGCCAGCAGTAAAGTTTCCAATCGTTGATTATCTTCCTGTTCAGGGTAAAAAGAAGTGCTGTTATGACAAAGAAAAACCGAAAGAACCATGAGTGCTGAAATCAGAAACAAAAACAGAAATTGCTGGAAAAGCTCAGTATCTGTGGAGAGAAATCAGAGTTAACATTTCGGGTCCAGTGACCCTTCCTCAGAAGCATTCGAAGGAAGAATCGCTGAACCCGAAATGTTAACTCTGATTTCTCTCCACAGATATTGACAGACCTGCTGAGCTTTTCCAGAAATTGCTGGTTTTGCTCTAATGACAACTTTTTTGTTTCCAGTTCTAAGTGAATAAAACTTCTGTTGTTAGTGTACAATCTGACCTTCCAAAAGAAGTTGATGAATTTCAACCATTTATTTCTGAATCAAAGGACATTTTGTGCTGTAGGCTTCTGGCTGTTGGGAGTTGAATTCAGAGAGTACAAACAGAGTCCTTCAGCTGGGTTGGAGAGAAAATAAAGTGAGGTGTACAACATAATTCACTTTCATTTATAAGATCCTCTCGGCAAATGCTACTTAATATAAGCATTCCCGATAATTTCCATTAAGTGTGTTTAAATGTGGTTTATCCCTTCTGTTTAAAACCTGTGCCACAACTCCCTCAAACACCATTCTGTTCATGTATTTCATTTCATCGTCCAAATTGATTTTGGATTCTGTATTAATTTATATATTCTGTGTAAGCAGGTTCTGTGTGCCAGAAATCGTGTGTTTATAAATGGGAACAAAAGAGAACAGGAATTGGTAAATGATTCAGATGAAAATAAGGTGAAGTTAGTACATATGTAGTTATTTAGGATATCTTTCCAACTGTCCATGATCCACTTTCTCCGTGTGAATAATGTGTCAGTCATATTTCTAAATGTTCTCATTTTCCACCCCCACCCAACAGCAACAAAATCATTATACACATATTTCAACATGTTCTTTTGTTTTTACAATACATTGGTTGTGGAACAATACCTTTCTTCAGATTTTATTCATAAAGAAAATACTTTTGTTCTTTATACATCTGTCCTTGCCAGAGAGAACTGTGAACAGATTTATACTTTGTTGCCATTATTTATTTGAACAATCACTTTAAAAATAGCAAACACACTCAGCACTTTGTACTGGGGTAGTGCCCACAATTTCCATACAGAGCTTAAGTTTTCACTGGCACTTGGGGGGAAGGGACCAAGGGAATGTGAAAAACACCCATATTGTACTTCCTTGCAGTTGAGTTGTAGTTATTGTGACACAGGAGGCCATTCAGTCCAGTTCTCTTCAGAACATCTGGTCTGTCCCATTTACCCACCTTTTCCTTATATGTCTGCAAGTTTATTTCCCTCGAGTGACTGTCAAGCCTTCTTTTGAAAATATTTTTCATCTCTGTTTCCATTACCCTTACAGGCAGCAAGTTTCACATCAGCACTCACCGAGCAAAACACAAAAAGCTGTTACTCTCATTACCTTGTATCTCTCACCCAGAACCTTTAAAGCTGTGTCTTAGCCCTTGTGCCATCAGCTAATAAAAACAGCTTTCCTTTGCCTACCTTATCTAAACGCAATCTTTGTGCATTTCCACCAGATCTCACCCCACTCTCCTTTGCTACAAGAAGAGAGCCCCCACTTCTCTCAGCTAAGTTTATTGCTAAACTACCTTGTCCTTCTAGCCATTTTGTAAAAATGAATGGTTTTTATTTGAAAGCCCACTCAAAATGAATCTGTCACGGTTCCGTTGGGAATTGTGTGTACATAGACCAGCTATTGCACAAGCTGTCACAAATATTAAACCACCGAGATGATTGATTTTCTCGACTGACTGTTATTCAGGATGGAAGTAATTCATGCCAGCTTTGCGCCATTAACAGGAAAATAACACTATTGTAAACAAGCTGCTTCTTTAACAAACGGCAACAAAATACTAATTTACTGTTATGTAACTTAAACCATACCTTCTTTAAAACTCAAACATGATTGCATTCATTCATTCATTTGTTCATTCATTCATGAATAAGACAGATAAAACAGATGGTTTGGGAAAAATATAGCCAAGGAGAAACCAATTCTGTAAATCAAACTTCCTACCACAAGGAGGTAGGGGATAAATTTCTCTCAGTTCTTCAGCAATGATGACACAAAATTGTCCATACAGTAATGATTGATCTATGATTCACTAGCTGCTGGATGGACCTGGGTCTTGTATTGGAATCCTTTCTATTGAGCCTCTGGGTTTCTTGGTCTGTTTTTCACTCGGAGGGGAGAGAGGGGCAGTACGCTGGGTGTCTGAGTGCTCTGCCTCGCAAGTCTGTGCAACTGTTCTTTAAAAAGCAAATCCGAAAGGCTGTAGTAACTGTTTTTTCTTGGATTCAGAGTTCCAGTGCCACACTGAAAGTATCCCCCTCACTGCTCTGAAAAGTAATAAACTTATGTAGGTGAAGTGTCTGCCACAAAGCCCCACTTGATCTTCAAATTGTATAAAAACTTACTAGTACTTACAGCAATGTATTAACTTCCATGTTCCAGTTTACAGTCCAAGAAATATGTGGTCCTCTACACCAATTAGTATCCAAACCAATTGAAAAGTAAAACCAATTCGCTATTGCACACAAAAGGATGACTTGACTTAGTGCAAAAAAAAGTGTGGAAATAGTTCAATTGTCCAGTTCACGTTGATGAACAGTGCAAACATAAAAGGACTTAAAATGGCAGATAAATGAGCTGCTATAAATAACCCAACTTGTATCAATCATTCCTTTTAATTATAAGTAAGCTGCAAACCCCAATCATAATCTGTGACTGCAATCAAAATTTTATCCAAATTTGTATAACTGGATGCACTATCAAGTTTTATGCCTTACCAGGGTAGAGCACTGGGAATCAAGCTCCATTACTCCTGCTATCAGATAAGTTAAAGATTTTTTACAAGTACACAAAATGCCCCCATTTACCTGACATTTAGACTCAGTTTGATGAAGCACTGATCAGATTTTTGCACTTGGGATTTGAATTGCTATTTGTTTCAAAAAGCTAGGTTCTAAAGGTCAAGCGATCACATTCATACAAAACAATAGGCCGCTGTCTCATTACAGAGAGATGACTGGTAGTGATTTAACCTGAGGGTCACCGCACCTCAGGCGAGGGGAGGGGTTGAGAAAGAGGGTCCTTCATGATAGCTTTGGTCAATGCAGGAATTGAACCCAAGCTGCATTACTCCACATCGCAAACTGACCGTCCAGCCAACTGAGTTAACTAAACCCAAAATAGGTTGCAGCTACAGATAAGCAATAATGAACAGTCAGCGTGTCATTTCACTATTTAAAACTCTAACCCACTTCCCTCTACACATGGATGGAAAGGCACAAAAAAAACCCGGGTGTTCTGGGCAGAACAAATGGACTGTTTTCCAGTCTGTGTCCCTGTCTACAGGGTTTACTGAAGTGATTCTGTCTTTTTTTTTGATCAAACATTATTTCTTGATCTCTCTTCTCCACGTACTTACGCTTGTTTGCAGGAGGCACAGTGTGACTGGTTCAAGTTTATAGTGATCGCTGACTTGTTCATTAAATGTCACAACTTTCAACAGCTGATGAGAGGAAATAACTTAGCTAACTTCCATAGGTCTTTAAAGAAGGTGATGCCTCAAAGCAGAGACCAGTAAGAAGGCAAAAAGATTTCTTGTACTGAAGAAGTTCCAGCTGCCCCATGCTGCTATGTCTTGGTGCATGTATCATCTCCTTCACAGAACAGGGTTCCTGTTATTTCCTAATAGCTGGTTTTAGTACTCCTTCAGAATTTGATTTACAGTCTGCTCTTGTTGAACAGGCATTCTTGACGTATGGCAGTCCAGCAATGGTCACTTGACCTTTAGAAACTATTTATTTGTAACAAATAGCCATTCAAATCCCAAGTACTAAAAGGGAGATGGTGGCATAGTGGTGATGCTATTGGGCTAGTAATTCAGAATTCCAGGCTAATACTGTGGAGACATGGGTTTGAATCACAGTGTAAATTCTCTTAAATCTGGAATTGAAAGCTAGTCTTGGTGCGTGATGATGAAATTACCATCAGTTGCCATAAAAAGCTGTCTGGTTCACAAAGTCCCTTGCCTTCAGTGTTTTCGTCGACTCAGTCTCCACAGGTTAGCAGAAAGAACAAAGGAATGACAGGAATGTTTTGATCTGAAGAATGAGGAGAGGCAATAGAGTAACTGAGGAGGGACTGTTTCCAGTGACAGGTCAGTAACCAGACAACATATGTTTAAGGAAATTGGCAAAAAATTTGCAGTGACCTCAGAAAACTATTTATTAATAGAGTTATTGTTTTTCTGCAATATGGTGCCTGAAAGGGTGGTGAACAATTTCATTGGTGACATCTTATGAAAAGAAGACTGGATAAAATGTTGAAGGGGAACCATTTATAGGCTTACAGAGAAGAAAATAATACCAAGACAAGGATTAAGTGGCTACCTCTACACAAGAGGCAGCATGGACATTATGGGTTGCAGGGGCTCCTCAGGTGATGTATCATTCTGCTATTGTAGCTATTCATTCACAGTAACTGAGAAATCTGCAGAACCACACCAAAGTGTGAGGAAAATTAGGCTCTTCACATTCTTTATTGTCACGGTCTGGTTTCAGTCATTTTTGCCATTGATCTTTATATGCTGTCATTGAACTTGTGATGTATTGATGATTAATTATCGTAGGTAGGGGGTAATGTTCAGTTTCAGCACGTTATACCAAGACATGTTGGGCAGGTGGCTTGGGTTAATCTTGCACCTTCCCAAAATGTGTTCAAATTAATTTTATTTTTGAGATTTTTTAATGCAAAAATGGTTTCTGCCACCGCTTTTTCTAAAGTCTAATAAAGACCTTGTGAACAGATATCTACCTTGCAGACAAACTGTAGAACTAAAGGTTTGAGTAAATCTGGATGTTCCATTTGATGAAACCCCTATTTCTGT